GATTTAACAACGTTGTTGTTCCTTCCGCTTTCCTATATCCTGCACACCTGAAACACGGACCGAAAGCCGCGCAAAGTGGTTCGTTTGCTCGTGGACATTACGGACCGATTACTCAGAGAAACTGTGTCGGGGCGAGAGATCACGTCGCCGTGCTGGAATTTCCCTCGGCTCCGGGAAACTGTCGGGAAAGTATTCCCGTATTAATTTTCAAGGTGCACGGCTCAATTTTTGCCGGTCGTCGAGGTCCGCGGGCGACGAGACGATCGTCGGAATATCGCCGAGAGGGAAAAAGAGTACGAAAAATAGAGAAACCATCTGGACGGAATCGAGCTTTCTCGGTTCGAAACTTTTTGTGTCCCGACGATACGAGAGACCATCGGGAAGTGAAGAATTTAAATATTTCATCTTCGAAACGGCGAATATGCAAATGACCGGCACGAACGGCTGGTTCCTCGAGAACGAGAGCTAACCTCCGCCGTTTATTTGCGAAAAAATGATCGCTCGGCGAGATTTTTCTCTCGCCTCGCCCCTTATTTCGCTGTGGATTCTTTGAACTATTTCTTTCCTCTTCGAGGAAAGTCTCGATAAAGATTGTTCTGGGGATGAATTTCGAAATCGTTTCGAGCGAAATCAATTTTTATTATTGATAGTATCGATTGAACTTCTTTGGACGTCAATGTCTAAGACATGTATCGTATAAGCCATACAACTGTATCAATTTAAATAATAAACATAGATAATAAAATGTAACATCGGTGTTTCGCAGCATAATTGTTTAAATTAACACTCTTGGCGTCATGAAACTTCATTACGATTCTTTATAGAAATAATATTCCAATTTTAAGGGATTAAAATGTACCCGTTTCTGCTACCCTATAGCGTGATCGCGATGATCAAGATTATCCTAGTCCTGATAAGTAATAACGCGACGGAATTAAAATTTATCAAAGAGGACTGATTAACTTTGTTCGTTCGAGGCGTTCCGAGAGACCATCCAATTCGATGAGGGGGGGAAATAAAGTATGGCGAACTTCCGAACGTGAACCCGGTCGAATTAATGCCCTCCTTTATAAGGCGCAGATTATCGCGACCGGCCACCGAGAGATGCGCTTCTGAATCATCCTGGAGAGATCGATTAATTTGTGGGAACGTCGAGATTCGCGCCACCTGGACAATGCTGGACAAAATGTAATCTGATTATTGATTAACGATTATGATTGACCGTGCAATCAAGCCAGTGATTAATGATTATGGTTACTGGAGTAATCAGTAATCACGATTAATGATTAACACAAGCGATCAAAGGAAATGCAACCACCCAACATGATTATCTCACACGTCGTTCGTTACGAAATAATTATATATTTTATTTTAATCGAATCAATGAATAATGGTACGTTAATAATGATAAGTATTATTTATCTGGGTTAACACAAGTGTTAATAAACTATGGCATAAATATTATATAAACAAGTTGCAAGATTAATTGAGTGAATGTAATTCTGTACTTAGTTAATAAATGAAAATAAATACTCAATGTATTCGAACTTACATACGTTACAATGATATATTGAAAAACTATATTTCGAAGAAGGCTTCATGTAATATTTCGATAAAGAATACTTTTAGAAACATTTAAATTGCACTCATTTTTTTATAATGTTTACAGACTTTGTAAAGTTGGAAGCTGCTTAAAATAATTTACGCTCCTCTCGCGGCGAAAGCTTCTTGGAACGTTCTGCACGCTTCCTTGCGCCATAATTTCAACGTTTGATAACAAAGTTTCCAATAACGCTCTTCAAACATCCAACTCTTTTGCAATGTATTCGTAATCCTTTGCCTTCAATGTGTAAGACCTCGACCATAGCTTTTTCCCCCAAAGTTGTGTTCCGAGAACCACTTCGGTATAAAATTATTATAAACAACACTTCCAATGACTAACGATATGAAATAAGGGAACCAGAAAAGAACACAAAAGAAATTCTTGAAAGTCTAAAAAATCAATATTTCTACAATTAAATCTAATGTACGTTTATATTATCACGATTTTTTAATTGTATGGACTTTTTTACTACACGCGCATATTATATTTTATCTAGATACAATCATTATATTACAACAACGAAGTCAGTAGAATAATGTTTGGGGGAAAAATGTCATTTTTGTTCAAAGTAACGCTTCAAAATTGCACGTTCCAAAACGTTTGGTTTTTAACAATTTTTATGAACTGCACCCACATTTCAAAGAACAAAATTCGTTGATAAAAAATTGAATTTAATAAATTGCCCGGCTTCGGTGCGAAAAACGCGTATTAACAAAAACCGTTGAAACATATTCTGTGTGCGTACGAGTCACGCGTCAAAACGTGAAAATAATGCCTGCTGGTGCCAGATTGCAAAAGTTAATTCTTTCTCCTCTGATTTTTCGTATACGTAGAAAACAGATGCCATTAAATATGCATTGTGACGTGTCGAATTAATTTTGCAGCATGAATAATTGCAAACATTTTCTAGATTTTGTGTCTATTTCCAGAAAATTGTATTTTCTATCGTCACTAGACAAATATTAACAGATTTCATTGATAGAATTTGGAGCATTTATTTCGAGTATGTAAAAAAGACTTTAGAGTGTACGTTATTACACCAGCAACGAATTGTTCATGAAACTCGTACTACAAGTTACTTGAAACAAGAAAATAAATATTCTTTATTTATTATTTGCACAATTCACACACAAAATACCATGATCCATCATCATTTGTACCTCGTCTCTTTATTCCTCTTTCTTTTTACGTAATATACTCGTAATAATAAAATCGTATCATTATTAAGAGAACTTAAAATCAATGAGTGCAAATTCATTTTGCAATATTATCGACTTTTCGATTTTGTTCCTTATTTACTCGACGATTACTTTCGTATGTAACTTATATTACTTTTTCTCTTTGCATAGCCGTATTTGCTTTGTTTTTTATCTTCTTCCTCCATTCTCTCTAGTGTATTTCTTTCTGTATCAAAAGGTTCATCCCGTATAAATAAATCCAATTAAATTAGCCCGAGACGCGCGAAATATTCCAATAAAAGGAGACGATCGCTTCTGTTAAAGTTCATATTTCAATACGTCTAGGCGTAATAGTCGATATTCGATATCTGCTCACGCGGACGAAACTTTCCCTCGTTCCAAAAGAGAAGAACGATGTCGCGCTGAAACTTTTTACTGTCAAAAAATGCACGTTCTTTTTGTGGCCATTCGGAACCGCGGAGTTTCACGCCGACTGTAAAACGCTCTTGCGATGGAATTTCTCCACAAAAAAAATCGGTTTTTGGACACTGTATCGTAGAAAATTCCAGAAAATGTCGGAACGATCATTTTGTTAGTTTTGTTTCAAAATTGTTTCAATTACAAATGTTAATGCATATTAATTACATTATGTAATGCACAGGAGATTTTAATGACATTTCTGTAAAACTTTTGGCCCGTAAAGGAGTAAAGAATAAAAAATTAATTATTTCCTGATTTCTTTAATCCTATTACCCCACGAATATGTTAAAATCTACTTATTTGATGTATTTATTCTAATGTTGTATCAATAACAAATTTTCAAGTACTTCTCAGCAGAGAATTTCATTGAATTTAAACTTCAAAATGTTACTAATGCCTAACTAAGACTATCAAATTTGTTTTCTTTGATTTTTCAGACTAAAGAACGCAAATGTGCTATTTTCGCGTTAAAACGTCGCACGGTTGACTAGACACGATCGGATAAATATAACTTGTTGTGGAACAAACCGCGATCGATTGACTGTCGTACGTCTACGCGACTTGCAGCTGCTCCTCGATAAATTAATATATTGGAGCTATTTGAAATTGATGGATCGTGGACTATATGACTCGTGGCGTGTAAAGGACATTTTCGATACACAGGTTAACTTGTAATGTAACTTGATCCTTTGTGTCAGAGTTACATTCGAAACTATCGAAAAGTAAATTCAAATAGAAATAAAATGGAATTGTTACGTTTGCTATGGTAACTTTTTAAGCATACGTATACACAAAATGAATCACCTTAAATGATTTACAATTTATTATATGAGCAAATATTTGAAACAAATGTCAACATTTTAAACATTGCTTACATTAAAAATGGTTTGATGAATATTTTAGCGATTACTGATTCTAAAAATCAACTTCTAATCACAGACAAGCAAATTAAATTTCAATTACCGTTAAGACGTTGATGCGCTATATATTTCACTGAAAATCAGCTGCAGCGAAGTACTTGCTCTCCCACTCGAATCACCGTGTGTATTTCGCGTTCGTTCCCCGCGTTTAAGCTCAAAGAATGATAAATAAAGTTCACCGTCTCGAAAGAGATTGCGATCAGCCCGTTTAGTACGAGATAACGAAATTATCGTCTTTTTTCTTCTTCACCGCGTGCTACGCAAGACAAACGCGGGGGAAAATTTGTGGTATCTCGTTGTATAGTCAGCACATGCGATCCTCACGCGCCACGGCATGTTACTAAATTGTACTTATTTATTTCAGCCACGGTAACCGGTTAACGAGGATATTGCTTTGAGCCCACGGAAACTTCTGGCGCGCGAAATCGCGGTAATTTCACGCCCACGCGAGCTGTTACGAGGCCTGAAATTTCGAGCGCATTGTTTGCGTCATCGACTACGATCTTCTGCAAATTCTATTAACGATAACAAGTGTTTTCAGCAAATACTTCGCCACGTTTCACGCGATTTCCTTTGTGCGACGCATATACAAATTTTATAACCGAGAATTAGAAGAGGACCGAATTTCATTAACAAAATTTCGAATAAAAACATTCTATCGCGATTTATACGCAACTTTTAATCCACTGAACGATTATTCAATTTAGTTTTTATTCGTTTAGTGTAAATTAGGATTTTATTTTGGAAATCAGACGATCAATTCCATTTTGAATAAGATTTATATGTTAGAAAAAGAACAATAAACTTTTAGTGACTCACCAATCGTTGACTACGATGACATAACCTCTGCGACGATAACGATCCTGGTGTCCAGTGAAATACATCAGCGAAGGCGTCTCCATGGTCCTGCTGGTTTCCAGAATGTAAAGATGAGATTCACAGACTGTAAAGCACAAGAAAATAATTATAATCTACCGTAAAAATTAGACATTTCATAATTTGATATAAAAGATACTACGTTCAAATCTAATCACAGATTATTCATAATTTAGATAATTTCAAATCATTAACAAAATTTAAAGAAATTTTTTTCTAAACGCGTATAGAATAAAGTAGGATGATATTTACATTTTATACTCGTAGACTTTCGCCCAATACATACTTTTCTTCAGTGATGCACTGACTCTAATACCGGTAACGAGTAATTAAAATTTTTAAAAATTAAAAAGAATATTAAATTAACGCGATCGAAAATCAAATACGGCGAACAAATGATTCTACTGTCGCGATATTCGAAGCAAAGAGAGCCACGATGCTCTGGACGAAATTTACAAACGCGCAATATACACTGACTCGACCTTCGCGTGTAACCTAAAATGTAAACGCAACTCTACTCGAAGCCACTGTGCTTCGAAACACAATAACCTATACATACTACGGAACAACCACTGATTCTACCGAACGCATTGCACGCGGTCATCAAAATTTCTGAAAAAAAAGAATTCAGATTAGAAATAAGAAATTGTAAGAAAGATGCTATTACGATCAGAATAACGCTCGGGCGTTTTAATAAAATCAACACGGGGTGGACTTTCTAAAAACTATATTTTGTTACTGCTCGCGGCAAAAGCTAATAGAATTCTGTACCTTAATAGAAAATCAGGGTCGTGATGCCACCCTTGGCAGTACGGCCCTCCTTTCTTCAAGTGTCCTGGCTGATCCTTCTTTAAGAGGGGGAAACGTACTAAGAAGAATACTAGTAACGATTAGAAATGTTTAGATCACAATAGTTAAAAAGTACATACCTAATTAGACGCGAAGCCTGTCACCGTACCTTATCACACCAGTTACCAGACGAGGAATGAGGAGCAGGTCCGGACACGTTTACCTCGCGAATTAATGGACGGGGAGTGGGGTGAGGTAGTCACGTAGTCCAACACAACGTCTCGATTCCCGGTATGTATTTCTGAAAGAAAGGTTAAACCTTATATCTGTAATAACTGAAAATAAATTTATAAAATATATAAAATAAGTACAAAAAGATATCAGACAAACAATTAATCTTACTAATTTATTATCGATATACTTTTGTAACGTCAATGCAAAGCAGCCGGTCATTGGCCTGCTCGAACATCGAATATCGATCTGTTATTGGTTGCATTGGTGTAACTAGATAGATTGAAATATATTAATTTTAACCATAGAAACATGTAATATGTAAATATTAACTTTCAATCTAAATTTCACTTTCTATATATAGAATACACAAAAATATTAACCTGTACGATGCTTATATTTTATTTCGTAGGACTCTGACACTCACTTATTTACTGTTTTAGTCTATTACTCGTTTGTGCCTATTTCTTGTGCGTTGTAGAATAATTTTTAAGAGTGATTTTATTCTTACCATTGCTAGCATTACTAAACCCGAGACAGTGATCCGATTCAGTTGTTTTTCTTGTAACTGAATCCGGCTGTGTTTATATCCTTAGTCGCCGGTCTCTCGACTTCACCTTGGAGCTGGGCTCACGAATTCCTTGTCCGTGTGACGCGAGAAACTAAGCGTTGCTTTACACGACTACACTATGTATTATCTGTGCCCTTAATCCGTGTGTTACGAAAAAATATTGGTAGTGACGTCTACTCCGTGCTTCGTTTATGCCCATACTACAAACTGCTTACCATTAATGTGTCGTACCCAATGTTATCGACACAGAATCAAGAAAAATTTTTATGGAAATCTAGTGAGAATTAAAACAAGTAACTTTAGAAAATATATTATATACAAAAGGAAAATTAATATGAGAAACTGAAAGTTTTAAAAGTTAATATTTACACATTATATATTTCTATGGCTAGAATTAATATATTTCAATCTATCTAGTTACTTATGTAACCAATGACAGATCGGTATTCGATGTTCAAGCAGGCCAATGACCGGCTGCTTTGCATTGTGACGTCACAAAAGTATATCGATAATAAATTAGTAATTAATTATTTGTTTGGTATCTTTTTGTATTTATTTTATATATATTTCAGGTATTTATTTTATTTATCTTCAATTCATCGAGATATAAGGTCTAATTTTTCCTTTAGAAATATTCAGCGAGAATCGAGACGTTGGACTGCCAGCCAATCTCACCCCGCGCCCCCTCCATTACTTCGCGCGGTAAACGTGTCCGGACCTGCTCCTCATTCGTTCTCTGGAAACTGGTGTGAAGAGGTATGTACTTTTGTACACATTGTAACGTCGTAAAAGAATATCGATAATAAATCGTTAAGTAATTAATGGTTCGTCTGATGTCATTCTGTATTTATTTTTCAGGCGTAGTTCTTCCGTGTCCCTTCAATGTTATTCAAGATATACATATAAGGTTTAACCTTTCTCTGGGAAATACGCGCCGAGAAACGAGACAGTGGGCTACCTGACTACCTCACCCCATTCCCCACTTCCCACCCATTAATTCACAGCGGTTAACGTCTGCTATGCTTTAGGCTCGTCATTCGTTCTGAAGAAAGTGATGCAGTAAGATGCTAACAGTTTCGCGTCTAATAAGGTACGTACATACTCTTAACCTATCAATATCTAGACGCTTCTATTCGCTAGTATTACTGTCCGTCACTCTTTATCGTTGCCTTTATTCAATGTTAGTACATTTCTATCATAAATTTAGTTGGTATTGTAAAAAAAGTTTACCTCGATTTTTCGCTTTCTTTTTCGACAACTAACCGATGTCAATTATCATTATATCTTTAAACTACAATCTCTTACAACACATTTCGGGTTTAATTATTGTTTGATTGTTATACAGATACATTTATTTTAATACATTAGATCGTAATTTGTATTTTATTTCTGTTGCAGTCTGATTGTAAGTCAAGTTCAAGGATGGACGCCATGTTGTCTGGAAATATCGATCGACAGAATTTCACACGGATTATTGGTAAGAACTAACCTATTATTACAACTGGCATACATATTCATATTTATGTATATATTTTTGTTTTCTGATCGATTATTTGTCGTAAGTACGATGCATAATTATACAACAGGTGTTACAATTGAAAAAGGAAAGATTTAATCGAGCTGTTTCTCATTTCTGTAGAATTTGAAAAATTATGAGTTACATTTGCTGTTTCTTTTTAGAGACTTCTTCAGATGACTTCACCGTTGACTTCGTTGCTGATGACTTCTACTTGGCAACATCGTCGCCGGGTATTTACATTCTACAATTGGTGAGTCTCATATTTTCTTTCCTCTGGTCCCCAACCATGTTGTAGGACGAAAAATCCGAATCGACAAGGGGGACTAGTTGTATACGTAGTATTTTTGCAAGTACAGTGACCGTGGGTATTTTTCATGCCCATGAGTAGTAACAACATAATGTATTGTTATATTTTTTTAGTTCAGGCTAGGGTCTTCTTGTGCTCGCGTTTTTTAATGTAACAAATAAATGCTGCCCATTATAATAAATAATTTTTATAAAATATATTAAATATTTATAAAGTGAATATTTACATTAACTTTATATTAATTATATGATTCAGTAGAATATGAATGCCAATTACTATGGCATTATACAATAACTTTTACAATATTAATTAAGTATGAAATTTTTCACTTATGATTAATTCTGGTAGTATTATACTATATGGCATATATATTATTAAATATTGATCGTTCCCTTAATACATCATATGATGTATTTTATGCGCAAGAGACATTTCGCGACTGGTAAATTTTTGAGTCAAAGTAACATGCATTGTATATTATTCTCATGTTTTCAAACATTTACTTTGACGACAGAATCGACCAAGGATAGTTGAATATTTTAAATAATAATTTAATAAATCCATATTCAATTTTCAAAGTAAATTATTTTATCTTAAAATCTTTATTGAAATCTTTCCTTTTAAATTAAAATTAATGTTTCAATCACAATAATTTTTTTCAATAATAATATTTTTCAAGATTAACGTATTTTGATGATGATATATTAGAAATCACAAGTCGAAGTCATTTTAACTAAGAATGAAATTAGAAATACCGTTTAGTTACACTGTAATATTTATTAACCATTCCTTTTAGTCAGGATTTTCAGGATACCTTTCCGTGTTCGTTGCCTAAACTCACCCAAGTGCCCAGGTGCTACTTGCGTGAGTGAAGGCAATGGGCACGATGACTTAGTTTATAACAATTTTTAATAACATACTATATGTGCGACTGACATTGCACTAGTGTATCGTGCGCGACGCAATTTCCACATGTGTGTGTGGTTAGGCTGTGGAATTGCGTCGTTTTAAAAGTTCAGTAAACAAATAAGCATACAAATATAATTCTATTTCGTCTTTTACATATTTCTTGCATACGCGAGGATCATAGTACAAAATATTTAATGAAACATAAACGGCAGTTAGTTTCTTGATCTTGAAAAACGTAATGAAGAAAATCGATTATTATTTATATAGTACATTTTATCAAAGATTCTCTTACTTGAAAATAACGCAATATTTATAACATAAACACGCAATGGTCACTAGTCTTCGTCAGTTGATTTCAGGATTTGGTACGTACCCTTAGAGTGTGAATGTTTGCAATGTTCGGGTGTCGGAGGAACCCCGGGGCTTCCTCTCTAGATTAGGCTCTTGCGCCCGGACATTATGCGTGAGAACCGTGGAGTATTTGTTTGTGAGAATGCGTTTTGCAACTTTTTAAATATAGGGTTAGGTAGGCAGGTCACTGAACTTCTGGTATGCGTGTGTTAGATCTAAGTAGGTAGGGTCAGGATAGGACTGTCACAGTCTTTTTTCGGGTAGGCGCGTTTTCGCGTGGCAGTCCTGGAAATTCCTGTAGTTCGATTTGGAGAATCGAAACGTTAACCGATCCAAGCGGATTGTACCGTTTGTTTTGGTTTAACTTTCGATTTTTGGAATCGCGCGGCTTCACAGTCGCTATTCGCGCTCGCGGTCGTGGTTAGCCCCCCTCGAAACGTTCGTTCGGCTTGAGTTTCTTCACCGCTGTTCCAATAACAATTCCTAGAATTGTTTGAGGACTGCGTATTGCACGGAATCTCGAGCCTAGGCTTAAGTTTCAGGCTCGGGCAGGACCGCCCGAAGAAAGAAGAGGTCACGTGCCGAAGAGGCCCTGACAAATTGTCTCAAGAGCGGGCTGCAACGAATGGCTCTTCATCTTCATTTTCGGATGAAGTTGGATAGTCATTGCACGTTACTGCTTTGTCACTGTACTTGCTTGTAGTTGTAGTTCTTGTAGCTTTTCAGATGGTACTTGTACCACAACGTCCACTATTTTTTTTATCGCGTTTACATTCAGGATAGCGTTGCGAATAATTTAAACTTATCGCGATTACTTTTAGCGTTGCGAACGATGAACATTTTTCGCGTTTGCTTTTCAGGGTAGCGTCGCGAACGAGAATCGATCGCGGTTTGTCAATAGCGTTGCGAAATATAAATGTTATTCGCGTTTTTTTGTCTAGGTAAAGTTGCAAATACATAATCGCATAGTTCCATTTAGCGTTGCGAACAACGAGAATCTTTCGCGTTTCCTTTCAGAGTAGTGTCGCGTACCAGCATTGATCACGGTTTGCAGTAGTGTTGCGAATAACCACCAATCGCGATTGGTTTTGTTTGCGATATTGACTGATCTGGTTTGTTTTGATGTAAACCTAAAACGCCTCCTCCAGCATCACGAAGCAGCCGAATTAGTCCCAAAAGTTGGGATTCTCTGCAGCCTGAGGTGGTTGTACTAGATTTTTTAAATTAACGTTGCATAAATCCTCTCGGAAATTCGGACGTTTATTCCGAGTTCTTGTTTGCAAACTTGAAATTTGTAAGTTTGACATATTGACTTGCCAAATGTTTGCGTTTCTATGGTTGTTCACCGATCGATCGATAAATATAGTTTACTGGTTCAACCCTCACGATGCTGCAACGGTTAATGACCGCTCGATTGATCAGGGTGCATGCGATGAACACTAGAGGCATGTGTGGGACTCGAGGAATAATCTCAAAGAAGTCTATATCTACTCTTTTTCTAATCGTTGTTCCGTAAAATTTCTAATATTAAAAATACTCCTAGAATAAAGGAAAACAGTTAACAGTGATTCGATAAAAGAAATTTATAGGTCATTAACATTATAACTTTTGCGCAAAGTAGGTGAGAAGCTGGTTTAGAGAGGATTTTCTTGGAACTTGTGAACCGAAAGTATTTAACTTGTAAATTCGTTCGACTGATTTTAAATTGAATCGAAATCGAAAGAAAATGATTGTAAAATTATCAAATTAGAACATCGACTCTTTCGGTAACGATTCTTAAATACAAACCAAATAAATTAAATGGAATCGTGTCGTGGACTGTTTCTCTTGAAAGGGCCAATAGCGTGGACTGATTGAAAATCACTCGGACTAACGTGGCTAACGTATGGTCGACTGTTTCGACTGTTCCTGAGGTTCAGGTCCATGTAGCTCAGGGCGATGATCGATAAGCCTAGATTCAAAACTGCTTTCGCCGTATTTCGTTCCCTGATTGAAACAATAAATCATCGCTCGCCCTGAGAGGTCGAATCGTATTAACAGTCGTTCGCTTTTAGACCCGTGAAATAGACCAGCCTGGAACAAGCGGACCGAAAAATTGTTCCCCTACGTTCAGCCTTTGACGGTGAAAAGTTCCTTCGTGAGCGAAATAATTGGAAACGCGGATGCATTCATTGACTGACACGCGACAGTTCGCGCGTTCGAATTTCGAAATAAATATTCAGCGGAATATGCATCGTACCTACCGATGATTTTCGTTTATTACGAATAGCGTATCATATTCTATTATACGGGAAACAAAAGGTTGGTTCCGAAAGGAGATTCGAATTGGATTTGATCGAACGTTTTAATCAGTTTAAACGAACTTTTCTTAACGATTTTCGATCTTGGTTTTCGTTCCACTTTCAGGGACAGACCAACGTAACGGTTATCAAAACTATTTTTTGGCGATACTACGTCATTCGCGTATCTCGTCCCGCTGCAACCAGCAGCTTGTTTACGATGAACTTTTCACTCCTCTGGCATGTATAACATTTCATTTCCCATCGATGTTCGGTGGGAGGAGCGTTATCGGGACTCAATCGAAGATTCCTCGATCCGACATGATTTCTCGAGGCGGGGGCGCGATGCAGTCGGGGACTATAAATCACGAAAGACTTGAGGGTTCAGGAATATACCGATAGTCCGGCTACCTACGCGAACTGCTACGAGTTATATGGGCCGACTGTAAATCACACTTCATACCGATACGGTTAATATAGAGTGGTCTGGCACTGTTGCCTATGAAAAGAGAAATTCTGTTCGTACGCTCAACGGAAATTCTGTTCGTACTCTCGCGAACGCTCGTCTGATCGATACGTCTGGATTAAAAATTATTCTCCGTGCGGAGTCGCCTATGTTCGAAATAATAAATCACGATCGGCTGGATAGTTCAAAAATTCACAGATTCTCGATCCTCTTCTTTCTTCGAACGAGTGTATTTTTAAATGAGAACTCTCGATGTAAATTACCACATCATGCATGAAAAATCAGCTTGATCAGTCTATTAGTTCCGGTGATACGTCAATCATTTTGAAGAATATTATATTTCGGGATATGGTAAACTGTACTGAGCCGCGATTCTTAACGTGTCTGTCCATAGACCCTAAGGGGATAGATAGATTTTTGGCACTTGGCAAACTTGCGTAAGGATATATTAAATATTTATTTTCGTTGCATACATTACATTGAAAAATATTGATCTCACCTTTCCAATACGTTGAAATTACAATAGGTATTAGATTATAATAAATCTTTCTAAGCTGTCGATACGATAGAGAAGGGTAGATGCTGTCGTCTTAGCAAACTTTCAAACGTTAGCGGAAATGTTTTATGAACGTAAAAGTGAAATTTAAAAGGATCTACAAATTTCACCAAAGAATACTATTTAAATCCAAGTATTTCTTTCTAAAATAAATGTATAATTTGACCTCAGAGAACAAATTTAAAATTATTTAAAAGACTATTTGAAGATTAAAAGAAGATTAATATAGCCAGTTGGGAAAATACCTACGTGCTACTAGTACTAATATGTTTTATAAAATTCTCGCGTGTTTTCGTTTGCAATTTTCATCAAATTGTAAGTTGCAAAAGAAGAAGGTGTATAAAAAGAAAAATTGTATTCATTAAATTACTCTGAAAGACGTCTGTCCAGGGGGCAAAAAGGTTACGGGGACCGTTAATTACATGTCTTAAGGCTATTGCTACGAGAAAAATAATCCTTTCAGCACAACGTTTGTAAGACTCGAAACTTCAAGAAACATGTATAACGATGATTAATATTTCTCGAGCGAATTTTTTTTCACTCCAAACTAGACAGACATCTTTAGAATCGTGTCACAGCTTTTTCGACGTAGACGAAATTAATGGAGTCGCCAAACGAGACCATTCCGCGTAGGGATCAAGGAAGTTCGCTACACCGAGGCAGTGCTCTCGTAATATTCCGCCTGGTAAACAGACCCTTTGAACTTTATTAGCCGGCCAAGGCACTTTCAGCTTTTTAAATCGGCCCATCGCGCTCGACCTCCCGTTCATTTATGCTCAGAAAATTTGTTTTGAAAATTATGCCCCGAAAAGCGATTTCTCCGCAGCCTGGGGACGCGCTTCCTGAGCGGGACGCGTTTCCGCCAGACTCGATAGTCGTTAAAATTAATGAGATGTAAATAAAGCGGAGGACTTCCGTTGAGAGTCAAAAACATTCATCGCGCCGACGTCAATTCCGCGACGTTCGTCCGCTTCTTTCAATCTTTTCACGATTCCAAAGACGATGCGCGGAACGTTAAACGTCCCTCGCGACCAGCATAAACTCACGTTCTTTCACCGTGATTCGAAACTCTAACGATCCCTGTCGACGGAAGCGATCGTTGGCCCTAGAGAGAATTATCCAAAAATTTATTTATCGTCACCTGTGTAGTCACGATCGATTCTGAAGGGAGCTGTTTAAATAACAACTATTTACACGGCTGCCCGAATATTTTTGTGTTATTTCTGCGTTTTTACCTTTGGTTATTACACGGTTCTATCTTAGATAGTACCCTGGCAATTAGTCGATCGTCGTGGCTGGTTCTTGGCTTTTCAAACTTTTGAAAAGAACCGACCGCGAAGCGTCGAACTCCTGCCACGAAAACTGTCCAGGAACCGTTCGAAGGAAATCAAACAGCCTTTGAAAAACTTGGAAGTAATCGAGTTCGAAGTATCGAACGTTCGCGACACAGTCTTTCTTCGTGGCTTTAATTAGTCCGGCATTCAGACGAAAAGAAGAGAGCGGAGCGAACGGCAGGATCGTTGGTAGCGCTCGGGTTCGACCCCGAAAATTAATTGCAACCGCGGCCATGAATAATGCTTTGAGTGAAACGCTGGTAAAATATCCTATAATAATCCTGGTCTCGGAAAATTTTCAAAGCCTGGAAGGAACTGTATTGTTAAGGTCGTAATCGATTAAAGTAAATTGGTCAAAAGTTACATCCCATCTGACTTATTTTTTGCACATATCTGTAGACGTTTACCTTATTAAAAACATTATTTATATTATATTTCTCCATCAGTTTTTAATACAAAAAAAACTACTTCGTAAGGAAGAGTAACACAGTTGTGATATAAACATTCGATAAACATCAAAAAATTCGTAAGAAAGTTTCTTTCCATTTATAGCAAATACACCATTATAGTGCACAAATACGAGTGGGAGTAACCTGTATGTATTGCATTTTTGTTTAAAATTAATTGAGAAACGTCCGTATTTACATTAATTCGTGCAATATAATATGTACGTGAAACACTTGAGCAAATATCTTGGAAGAAAAAGTACCATACATTCTAATCAACGATAAAACATCGTCGTATATCGATACTAATATCGATCCGTTGTTAAGCAGTGAAAATCTCGATATCGGTACGCTATAAACAAAACTAGCCGAAGTACTCGCGTAGTAGTTGGAAACTCTGCTAATAACTCGGATCGCAAACGATTTGGGGATTAAGAAAGGTAGTAAAGCTTACGAAACAGAAGCAATTAATCGAAGTCAAAGGTAGACGCGAAGTTTCTTGACTGAACATCGTCGAGGTTACGGTACCGTCCGTCGTTCCTTGATATTGTTAAATATCGGAGCCGGGCTTTGATGTTTCGTAATAAGCTGTTTATCGTACAGCAAACACACCGTCGACTCTCTGTCAGATGACTCCGACAGAAGCCATCGTCTTTGATGTCGGATGCAGATATTACGCGGAATCCAAATGCACGCGGGCTGAGTTTGTCCCTGGAGAAGGGGGGCAGGGATGGGTGGTACACGGGATACCTGTCGTCTGATGGTGAATCTGTCGGGACAGGCGGCGGACTGACGGGCTACGCGAAAAACAGGGGAAGCCAGTTTCGAATTTTATGTTTCCATATTCCTAGCGACGGATTTTATTGCGGGCGCTACCGTACGAACGGTAACCGAAATTTTGTTTCGAAGATTGCCTGTCTCGCGTCGTGAAAGATTTCGTTCTTCTTGCTGTACTCGGACAGTTTCATTTTTATCGGATTACCAGTCAGGAAAAGAATCATCGACTCGCGTCCGTAGTCTCGGAGTGGTCGTAAAATCGAGCAGAAGCATTCAGTGACTTGGGCGAGGAATGTTCGAAAGCCGAAATCTTGATGTTAGATCGTCATTTTATAGCGCGGACAAATTTTTATCTCGTCTTATTATGTATACTTATTTTGGTTCGGCGCTGCTGAGATATCGACACTAGGATCAACGAACGAATCGTCCGCGTTATTGGTACCGTAGCTTGGCAAATATTTTCATGCGCTCGATTTCGGTTTATTATCTTTTAATATGCAGCTCGTTCGTTATTTTCAGGATGTCTCCCGTGCTGAATGCAATTTCAGCTTCGGATCAAAAATATTCGCCAATTACCTTCTGCCATGCTCGCGACGGTTTTCCCGTGCAATTTCGTTCGTTTAATGATTCATAGAAACTGGATGCTTCGCTGTAAGGAAACATCTTAAAATTTATACACCGGTCTCGTTTGTAAATTCAGTAGTGACTTGTCGAGTATCCGGAGTCTATTAAAGGGGAGAAAATTAGTCTGAAATGAGTATCGGTTTAAATGTAACAATATTTCAAACGTTTCAGCGTTCACTTCAAACGTGTTTCTACAGTTTTATCGTTTAAGTGTTTTTTATTCGGACATTTTTCTTTATTGTATTCGTTTATATTGCATAAAACAGCGTCCCGTTAGACATTAATTAACCATAATTTTGTTTTCCACTGTTATATCCACGGTTTCCCCCCTTTCAACGGTTTTTCAGCAAGATTGTACGAAATACGTTCGTCCTTGCTAACAATGTTCTCGCGATCGGTATCGGCCGGTATAACTTCTTCGTCGTCGTGTTCCAAAGCTATCTCGATGTCCGGTTCTGCTTTCAAATAGAAGAAATACGGTATTGGCTCAGCTGCGCGTGCACAGTCTCTCAACAAATCATCAGCCTCTTGCCATTCGTTCGGTTTCTGCAAAAATAAAAGTTGCAACATTCGAATAGACAACGTTTCAAGGAACTTGTAACGTAAAGAAAATTTTCCAGTGCGATCAAAAGTAAGTAGATGCTTTTCGAATTCGATAAAGAATCGTTCGACATCGATCGAATCAATGTTCGCAGCGAAATATTATCTAACGAATTCTTCCTCCATTCGTTTCTCGTTTTCGATAATCATCATTCATTAATCTTCGGTTTTAATACGAGTCCAAACATCGCGTCGTTCCTAGCGGTAAAACGTCGATACCGAACGAAAACGCGGAACTAAATGTTAAATCGCTCTTAATGTCGGCGATGATGATAAGTCGATTACACTCTCGCAGACTGGTTGGACCAGAGAGATCGAAATCACTCGAAAATAAACGATCGACCCGGTCGTTTATCGGAGTATACTTTTTGTTCGATAACGGTCGTCGATATTAACGGAGAAGATCGTAAAACCGGGAGGGAAAAATATCAGAAAATATGGAACATTGATCGAATATTTAAAAAAGTTTTCCTCGAATTTATTAAATGCTCGACTATCCAGCTCCCTCGATGAAATATTTAATTACAGAAATTAGTACACAGACCGTCGATTAAACGAGCATCCTTTTTTCTCTCTTTATTATAAAACCCGCGAAACGAACCAAATTGCTTCTTTGACGAACCGCGGACTGTATTTCTGTGGACCGTAAATAAAATAAGAAACAGCGAATAACTGTTCTGTCTAGTATCGAATGGACACGGGCGAAAGGTCAGCCCCGCCCGCGTATTTATAAAACGACAGATAAAAATTATTGCAAGGACTTCTCGAAGGCTGAAAACATTCCATGTCATTGGATGCAATATTACATAGAGCTCGACCTCTATTTCTGGACGTCTGACCGTTAAGTGCTCCTTCCACGTCTCGCAAAAAGCGTCACGGTATTATGCCAACTGTCGCCTTCCCTCCTCGAATATCGCTTCGAGCCCAAAAAGATATTCAAAACAAAAACCTACCGAATATTAATAACGAGAAACTCAGCGAGCTCGCAGAGTCGCGAAATGAACAATACGAGCTGCAGAGACAGGACGACCGAGAATATGAAACGCAGCCAGAATTTCATATATGTTCGGAAAGTCACAAACGAACAAAGTAAATAGAGTGATCAACGAGGGAGAAATTTCTTTTCGGATGTCTCGTACTTCTTCAATGCTTTATAACAGCATTCAGCTCGATTTTGAACAGAGAGAAAGTGTAGAGAGGCAAAGGTGTGCTTATTTTCCATTTAATATGTGTCATTTTGAACAAATCTTTAGAAATAATTTCGAATGGATTTATATTTACTTATTTCAGTGGGGTACTGAAAAAGTATCTATATGAAAAGTGAATCGCTCGAAGTAGAAAGTATAAGGTAGAGGGTAAAAAAAATTAATTAAGAGTGAAGTGTACTGCAGAGTGTGAATTATTTGAACAATGTAAACTGGTCCCTACATAACTTCCAAAAGTCAATCGAATCGAGAAAACTAAACTCTCCTGGGTCTTTGAAACATCTAAAATCTTTTTGGTTTCTCCTCAAATCGGAATTTGAGGAACTCCAGGAAGGAATCGCATCGAAAGCACCATTACCTCGACTATTTGCTCGATCGTTTCGTTCGAAGGTTCCTCTGTCTTTGACTTCGAGGCACTGGGTGCAACTTCGATGACAGTCGGAGACTCCGTGACAGACTCGTCCTCGTCCTCGTCCTCGTCCTTCGATTCTGTCGATTCTTGTTCGGGTGCCTCTGTCGTGGGTGTCGCGACCGAAGGTGATTTTTTGTTTGACATTTTCCGAGACCCTCGTGACTTTCGTGAGTTATTCCCAACTCGCTTGCCCTTTCCTTGCACTATAAACGTGGCCATCACGAATCTGCCTCCAATTACCTTTGTCGCCTGCGACACAGAAATACTCGACACCCTCCTAACAGGAGAACAGAGGGGAAAGTGTGTCGCAAAGTTGTTACCTGATCCGCAGTCTCCCTCCAGTGTTTGTAATAAGATCTATAAATGGTTGCCTCGTGCATGAATTTCTTCAGGAACTCTTGCATCTCCTCCTCGCTCTGGGGTATTGGTATTTTCTGCAGGAAATAAAATAATAAGGGAGACAATGTGGGTATTGGTAAGTTCACTCTTCGATATAAAAATAAATTACGGGAATACAACATGATTTTAAATAACAGTATTATCGTTTACATAACGAATAAACATATGTTTAGCTATCTAGAAATGGTCATCCTCAAAGAGAAAATTAGTAGTTGTCTAATTAAACCGTATAACATTTTTGTCTTATTTGTAGTCATTGAATGTGTTTGCTTTGTTTTATAACAAATTTCTTACTTCGAATTCCTCCTCCTCAACCTCCTCTTCCTTGCCTGAACCCTGCCATGGCGTCCCGATCGGCCAACTCGTCAACGATTCCAATTCTTAGCGACAAAATCATTGCTTTAAGAAATTTAAATTACAACTTTTGACGATACTGTAGAACCTCCATTATCCCAACTCATTTCTTTACATTGATTAATTTATAAGTTAAATCAGATGATCATTTTATAAAATAAAAATAAAATGAATAAGAGTAAAGTTTATAGTATCAAATTGGAGGAATTCCTTTTACCTGGTGTCAAAGTGACCTTGGATGCATCTGATTGCTCCATTGGAACATCGCCATTATTGGAAGCAGTGCGATTATTTTCATTGTCAGCACGATTGTTCTCATTGTCAGCACGATTATCCTCATCGTCGGCACGATTATCCTTGTTTTTAGCGATTTCGGTCGAGTCTTCGTCCCCCAGCGCGTCTACGTAGACGCTGGAACTAACTGTTGCTTCTACAAAAGATTCTTTACTCAATTTTGGCCGCTCGTCAGACGTTTTTGTTCTCGGTAACTAATCGTGGCATCTAATCGCGCGTCTATCATCGTCGTACCAGGGAGATTCGACGACGTTTTTTCACGCCCCCGAGAGAACGTTCGCGTCTTAATTAAATCGCGACGAGAACAAACTTCATCGACCAGTTCGACGTCGCGACAGAACTTCGACTCTTCTCCCCGTCGTTTCCAGCGAGCGAAACGCAAGGAACGAAGAAAACTTTTGCTCCTTCGAATCAGTTTATCGCTACCGTCCGCACGGGATTCAGTGTATTAGTGCCGTGGAAATGAAATTAATTATTAAACGGAAAAACTCTTGGACGTAGCAAACGTCGGACGCATTTTGCTCGCGCTGTCGTGATGTCATAAAAGCTGTTCATACTTCTGGATTCATTTCGCGAAAAGTGTTATTATTCTTTCTCCCTTGTTCTCTTAGTCTATGTTATGTCGATCAGGAAAGAGCGATCGGTTCGAACGAAATTACGCTCTTCTCACCTGTAGAATCGATGGAGTCGCTGGTGGGGTACTCCGGCTGACTAGAAACTTTCGTTGGCTTATCATCTTCCTGAAAATGAAAAGCAGGGCCGTTAGTGTTGGTTGTCGCTATTTTTTTGCACGGGGAACTGTAGCCTCTTGGCTGACAATGAAAATAATCAGCGTGAACGGTATATGAAAGAAGAGTAACGAATTTGGACTATTTCCCACTTTTTCAATCGTCTACAGAGGATTAAATATGTTTAAATAATTGGGTAAAAAGACGAAACCGCTACGACATGATATTTCGCGACAAAATACGCAGCATGGCGTTGAAAGTTTGGCTAAAGCAAACAGGATGGCGGACGATTAATGCATATTAAAATTAAAATTATATTTGCGTCGCTTATCGGCTGCGATGGCTGGCGTGAGACACGAGGAACGTGAGACTGCAGTCATTGCGCGGAATGCATAAATCGGTTCGCTCGACAGTGAACAGTTTCGCGGTAAATACACTTTTTCGATTATGCGGTCGTGCAATCGCAACTGGGTGGTGCTAACATCTGCGTACCCTGGCCCGACCCGAAATTTGCAAGGCTGTGTGCAAAATTTTAGCACTAAGTTTCCCAAATTAAAACTAAAAATACAAAAATTTGTTATACTATATACTTTTTATTAAATCAAACTTCATGTCGTGCGAAGAAACTTGCATAATTCAAATGCTTTTATTTCTATCATCGATTTATAAATTAAACATTTTATATAGAATTCATACTTTAATTCTTCATTTATAAATCGTTGATTCAAGTTAAATCCATTAAACTTTACGTATCTGTGGCGACGCTTGCCATATTTGCCAACAGAGGGCTACTTGTACCTTTCTCGCAAGCGCTCGAGCGACCATCGGATGTCCCGGTGACACGGATGATCGATTTCAGTAAAGCGATCGGTTATCGTAAAGTTCTCCCCGAAACTGAACAGTCTTGCCTCGCCTATTAATAGGGATGATGGGGGTTCTACTATAATGCGATACAAAAGTTTGTCGAAGGAAATTTTATTCGTTCGCTGTTAGGGGGTGCCGTTTCCCCCCGATCCTACGAGAAACTAATCTACCCGGCTACCACAATTTTTCCAATTTCCGTCGACATCGGGGAAACTTAATCTCCGAGGCATCGAAGTCTTCCTACTGTTTCTAACGCGAGAAACTTAATTCCCGGGAAGTTTTCTCGCTATCAAGTTCGCTCGACGCCCGGTGAACATGATTTACACGGGTCGCTGGGAATAGCCCGTTGTTCCGTAGCATCCGGTTGGTTAACCTTGAACACCGCGGTGCAAGCATCTTTCGTTGTCTCGGGGCGCAACTCAGGTGTCGGTTCGGCGGACCAACGTGTGTACGTTTCGGTCCGCCAGCGAAGATTTATACACGACGACCGCATAGTTCAGTGACGAGGGAACGGTTTAAATCTCTCCGTCGCCGGCGGCGTCATGAGTGACTTACTACATGGAGAATTGAAAAAAAAAGACGGCCGGAAAAAAGGGAAGAAAAGGAGAAGTGACGTCACGGTGAAAATGTCAACCGCACGACGCGTGGCGTCGTCGTTTCGCGACGGCGGTCAACCTTGAAGCGGAAGATTAATCGAGCAACCACGATATACAGAGCGTATCCCAACACGTGGAAAACCACTTCATCGGTCGATTACGGTAAATAAAGCAACGGAAAAGGTTTATAGAAATGCGTGCCCTGTTCTCCTTTTCTAAATGGCCATGCTCGACTCTTTCAAATATTCAAAATACATTTTTAGAAGCATCGAAAGGGCTGGTGGTGAAACAAAGACGACCCACAAGCTACCCTTAATTATAATATATTTATATAGAGTTATAGTGCCACGGGTAGGTTTTACTGATTGTGAGTGCATTAATCTCACAGTCGCATCGACTGTGTGATACTGAACTGCATAAATACTGACTGCGCCCAACAGACTGGTCTCTGACCAAGACTGTCTTACAGACTGTCTAAACTGTCCATCGCGATCTCGACTCCGAGAATTATATACTACACTCTTAATCTAATAGAAGGGGGGAAAAAGAGATAGGTTAGTAAAATGGAAAAACAAAACTGGAAAATATTTACAAGGTATGCATAGTCTATCAAGTGGTCTTCAAGTAGATCTCGATCGAAACACTCGCGCTATACCTTCTTCATCGAGTAATTGTGAAAACAGAGCACGCTCTTGTTAGACCGTACGACAGAATAGATGGCACGCGTTGTGAAGTACTCTGTACTTTCAGAAAACGCAAAGTCCCGCGTTAAATGCCAATATCTGGGACGAACATCTCGATTCCATCACGCGTCCCGAATCGTCGTCTCGTCAGGCAGCCGCACTTTCAATAGAAACGCGACAGCTGAACTTGTAATTTACAATGAAATTCCAGGTTCGCCGTAACGGAGGCACGTCGTCTGCGGCTCCATTCAGGGTACGTACGCTTTTACGGGCTGTAAGATACAATATTTACGGTGGGTACGTAACACGTATCGCGTGCTCATTGTTAGAAGTCCTTTGTTAACGATTGCTGGGCGCGTGCAGCGTAGAACCGATCCTCTCGACAGTTTTGAGGACTGCACGCGCGAGAGCAACCGAACGTTATCTCTGGCGGTACGAAATTATCGAAAGGCAATATCGGGACGAACCGATGGGCGGCCGTTCGTCGATCCAGCAAGCATGATAAGTCGATGACGCTTTGATATGGCCACGGGAACCGTGTTTCCAATTCGGAACAAAGTCGCGATGCTCTTACAACGCCGTCGTTACGCGAACATATCGACGTCGTTAAACTTAATTCGGGCCGCCGGGACTTCGAACCGAATTTCTAAACGCAATTTACTCGATCGTTACATCGGCTAGATTCGATCTCGCATTCCTTCCATCCGTGATATTCAACGCTCTAAAGGAACGGGGCCCGGAATTGGTCATTTCTGATACTCGTTCGGGTCGGGCAAATTTTTATTTCACGTCTGTACGCTCGATTCTCTTTTTACACGGTGCTGAAACTTGAAATATGGATTTAACACCTCGAGAAGAACAAAATTTGCCTCTGGAAGTATACTCGTAAAACGATTCGTTCGATAGATATTTATGAGAATGTGTAGCTTCGAAGTAATTCTAGTTTTTTCTCTTTGTTGCATTGGAGGAAGGATGATATTGTTAAATATTTGGTTCAAAATTGCAGACTGTAATTTTTTATTTTGTTGATGAAGCTACAACAGGAACCAATAGAAAAATCGATATTGGAATCCGGAATAATAAAAGTACTATAGAGAATATGGGCACTCTGGAGGATATGGATACTGTGAGGAATATGGGCAATATTGTTTAAATGCTTTGAATATTGCGACAGGGAATTTTTTTATTTTTTTTCGTTACGTTATTTTCATGTTACTATCTTCTCGTTCAGCTCGGATATCCATACATTTTCTAAACGATCGACAGAAGACGAGGATCAATTTTTAGACACTTTAATTGAATAAGTTGTACTTGATGTGAAATTTCGATGTACACGACAACCATTTTCGTACACAATTTCAGAAAAATCGTTATTGATATTTCGACGCATCATTGTGGTAAACTTTGGGGAACTATATTACTTAGTGTTACGATATTACGATGTCATGTAGAGGTGAAATGCGGGAGATGGTTCTTGCTTGATCTACCACAATTTATCGCGGACTAAATAGGTTTCGTCGTAACACAATTTTACCTCACATTATAACTGTTCTGTGTAATCGTGGCAATAGACTGAGGATGTTCATGCAAGTAAAATAGGTCAGTATGAACAGATGAATATATCAGATACGAAGGTACAAGATGCGATGTCTCGCGAAACATAGCGTCGGGTTAGCCCATAAATCCCTGCACAGTTTGCAAAATTTACAGAACACGATGAAACAACTCGTTTAAATTAATGTACGTATTCTCGATTATTGCCTTCGTTGTTTTGTCATTTTATAGACAATTTCTCAACTTTTTCATCAAATCAACCTCGGAAGAGCAATATTAAGAAAGTATATTTTGGACTTCATTTCTGCTTCGAAATTCGTTTTCTTTTAAAACATTCTGCAGACTCCAGAAAGAATAGTAAACGTTTAGAGCAAACAGAGAAGAAGGAAGGATGAAATCATTCAGTTAAAGTCAGCAAACACTTTCTTCGTTCGGACTAAACAAATTTAAAAAAATAAATAAAAAAGGAAGTGTCTTCTAACGTAAAGAACACGAATTTATGGTGTAAACAGTAATATAAATGTTCAGGAACATGTGAACTAATTTGATATTATTAAACAAGAGACCTAATTTATTTTCCATTTTCAATTTACTTTTCCATCAAGAATTACTTCCCTTGATGCTGCTATTACATTCTGCCAGACATACATTATTTATTTAATTACTAATGCATTTATTGCATATCCATTATAATATTGCAAGTATAAAATAAACGTACCTAAAGTAAAATAAATGAGTAATGTATTGTACATAGGAGGCAAATTTAATTAATATAACGCTCTTGAACGTACTTCAACTTTGCATGCTTTGAAAATGTGTAATATGGGCAAAAATTATTGTGGTAATATTATATTATAAACTTCGTTCATTTAAACATTTTAATTATAATTTATATCTAATGAACGATGATTAATTTCCTTATATTAGCTACTATTATATCACGATGTTCATCGGTTACAATTAATGTACAAGTGGATCAGTAATTAGTTATATATAATCAATTAACTGCATTCTCACCGACTTTATTTAGCAGCCGAATATTATTTGGAAACCTGTAGAATATTCAAGAATTTACTAAACAATATCGATTTTACGAAAAAAGAAATCATACAAAATGAAACAAATATTTTTACAATTTTTTGGTACTGCCTACAACAGTTTTTATTTTTGTATTTTCAATAGTTAGAAGAAACCGTGCACTAAGAATTGTATCTCAAGCAATCGTGTGTAGCAGGTCCCTTAGAATTCTCAAATAATTTTAAATATCCTGTATAATTCTGAGCACGTGTGTTCATAACCACGAACGGCTTGCATTTAAATTTAGCTCAGCCATTTACGAGATGTGCTTATAATATGTTATCAAATCTTGTAATATGTTCCATGATAATACTAGTTTTATATGTTCTGATCTACAAATCATCTTATTTGTTTTCATGACTATAGTTCGTCTAAACTGAGGGCAATAAGGATAGTCTCGATGTATCATTATAGAGTATTTTAAAATACAAGTTTCATTAAATTTTCACTTTCTACCGGGCATTTTTAGGCATAAATGTCCAAGAATAAAATAACCACTTAACGATTGTTACGCAAAACAAAACTCACCTTCTCCTCGAGACTGGCGTTCTCCATTGCCTCCAACTGTTTCGCGATCCTTACGACGAGATCGATGTGAGCACGTAACCATTTCTGCCATTCGTCGGCAATATTCCCGATTTGCGACAGCCAAACCGACCAAACGCGCAGCATTTCCGATGGCACAGCGTACAGCCGCTCCATAGACTTCACCACCTCCCTGCCATTTCAATATGTATGGTCATTTCAATTTTTCTACCGTGGTGTTCGCAAATAAAACTGAATTTTTGTTATCCAGAGAAATTCCGTACACTGTGTAATATTATTCTACCTCGTGTAGCAAATATTTTCGAAGATATCAATGTCTCATAATTTCGAAAAGGAAAGTATATTTAACGTTGATGCAAATGTACCATTCAGAAATGTGTAAACCCCCGAAATCCTACGCACTTTCAAGAAAAAAATTCGAGCAGATGCTGAAATTTTTCGACAAAATTAAAAACTTTCAAATCGTTTAAAAAAAATTATTTTTGGTTGCAGGGGTCAATTACAATCATTTTTGGCGAATAGACAAACCCCCGAAATCCTACGCACTTTCGAGAAAAAAATTCGTGTAAAAGTACCCTTTATATCGTTGAAACGAAGTATTGAGCTTGAAGATTTTGCTAATTACAATTATCAGCACTCTCAATGCCTTCCGTACCGGAAGGGTACTTGAACGACCCAATCGTGACTCCAAGTACTATTACAAGTAAGGACGTTTTCTTCTGGGTCTCTTCTATCTGGTTGAGTCTATAATCTATCAGAAACTCAACCAGGGTCAAGACCTGGGATAAAATCGACCAGAAAATTTCTGCAACCTAACATCCAACCCATGAAAGAGCTTCTCTATTTCCGACTCATTGTTCATAAGATTGCGAAATATTTTTCATAAAAAAAAAAACTAGGCGTAGTTGGGTAAAACTATAGCTTTGTTAGGAACCACCTAAACAATCCAAAACAACATGGTCGAAATAAAAAATTATAGTAACAGTAAGGACGTCTTCGTCAATGACGTTTAACCCCTAGGGATATTCTACCAATTGGGAATCGGAACATCATACGTGCGTCTGTAATAGTACGGGCAAGTTTCATGCTGCCGAGTGTACACCCTAGGGGCAAGCATCTGAACTCCGCGCCGGTAGAAACGTATCCAGTTTCAGCAACTAGAAACTCACCAATCAGCCAACAACAATATTAACGTAATACGCAAACTTACACCGCGAGATAGAATATCTAGAACCGTAAAGCAGACGCATAAAATTCAATTAGAACTCGATTAGAACTCGCAGGGAATACTCATAAGAACGCATTAAGAAACTCGAATAGAACTTGGAACCCATTTGCAACGTCGAAAGTACCCCTTACACGCAATTAGGCGCGTAAATGCACATGTACATATATACAATTTTACTCCCACTCGTATTCGTACGCTACAACGGTAATTCACTCTAAATGAAAAGAAACTTGGGTTTCTTTCGTAGTACTTCTATTTACGAAGTTTTGTTTCTTGTGAATTATTTCCATTTACTTTAACCAAATGTTGTTATCACGTGTTTTGTGCGTATCAGTTATTATACGAAACCCATAATTCTATAAAAATCGTGTAATTTCGAATCGCTTTAACGTTAGAACACAATTAATCTAATCTAACTTGTGAATGGAGCGATGTTCATTGTCAGTTGGGGCTAGCATTTGACGTGATCGTACAAGACGTTTGAACAAAAGACACCACGGCATTCTACGGAGGGTTCAAACGGACGATGTTTGTTTAAACTGCACCGTGACGACTCGCATAGAGAACAGACTGGCGCGTACTCGCGCAATTAAAAATAAAGAGACTACGAAACGCGCTTATTTAACCCCGCTTTTAATTCCGCCTCCCTTAATTTATTTAGTAGCACTGCACGAGCACGTAGTTAAATTATTTTCAGTTTCTGAAAAACCAGAGGTATTTGAAATAAACGTTTCCCGCAGTAGTGTATCGTGGAAAATTACTAATACTCGTAAATACGTTAAAATTTCATAGATTCAAGGAAGTAAGAATCTATGAAAACTTTCTAAGCGAAACTTGCAAATGTATAGCCAATATTAACTTACAATTTAGTCCTCGTTATGTAAGCAATGGCGTTTATTTGAGTAATTTTCAATAAAGCAGAATCAGTTATAGGGTATCAAACTTAATTCGTTAAACTTGATCGTGTATGCAACAAGTTCTCATATAGCACTGTGTTTAAACAATGAATATACTGCTATTTGTGGGAAAGGGTTGCACAAACTTAACAATGGCTATAATTAAAATTTCTATATAATCCTTTGTTTGAGGATTGTAAATTAAAGTAGTAGTTTGCATTTGGGACGCACGTTACAATGAACACTTTGTACACACAGATTCACCAGATCTGCATTACGCGCTATTCCATTTAATAATGATAGTAACGCGTCTTTATTGTTCTGAATAAAACAGAATACAACGCTAAGCAAATAAACGAGGTCAAAATGCAATTGTAGCTTAGTTATAATTATGGTACAGTATGGAGATATAACAGTAAACTTTTGCAAACCGAATTTTTAGCCCAATGGCAATTAACGAACAGAGATTTATTTTAAAAACCTGTTAAAATGATATATACTCTACATTAGAGAGTAGCGAATAAATTTTGATATGCAATAGTTCCTCGATTATTTGCTCTATTTTCTAAACTAGGAAGGTGTCTACGTATGTAGAAAATTTCTTCGAAATATATCGAACCGTTTGCGCAAACAAACAGACGGATGGCGAAACAAAATTTCTGGAAATACATTTTTTGGGTGAAACTCAAAATAATCGAAAGTTCGAAGGAAAATCAAAATTCTAAACACACCTACATTTACAGATTTATTTATACGGTAGATCGCAGATGGAAGTCGTAAGCAAGTTCAGCTGTTGCATGGTTAATGAAGAAAAATTACACGAGGATCGAAATTAAGGAAACAAGCGGTGATCTAAGAAAATGAACGACAATATTTGGAAACGCGTCAAAATGGAACGAATAAATAAGACATCCACACGTTCACGGTTAGTCACGAGTGGGTGGTGGAAATCCGAAGGCGTTCTCGCGGATAGGAATGTACATACCACGCAACAAAAATGATCTAAATATATCATAGAACTATTTTTAGCGAAGATTTTGATACGTAGTGCGTAGTCTCAAGCTTTCTTGCACTCGCAGAAACGTCGAAAAGAAATAATGAAACGAATCGTGTCGTGGACGAAGAATAAAGACCACGATGGATTACAACGTGGATCACGTCTAGACTCCGATGTAGACACATTGGACATTCCAAATTCACTATTTGTAATAGTAATTAAAAGGAAAAATACAGGACAAACGTATGTGATCACTGTCTGATAAAAGTTTACGAGTTTAATTATTATTCTTAAAAAGAAATTTTACTGTTTTCGTATAAGCAAATATAAAATTTCAATTAATGTACTAAATGTTTTTCCCTTAATCTGAGTAAGTTAAATAAGATGTTAAACATCCTATTTATTGTAGTAACCGGTTTAATATAATCATGTTTCTCTATCCCATGAACAAATCTCGAGCATTTATCCCGTCTATTTACGTAAACTATGGCCCTGTAAACTTGCATAGGTCTGTCGAAAGCGCGTCCAAAACTCTGACGTTGTTCGACGATCTCTTTCCTCGCGAATAATTTTCCGCGAGGAACGAAACTGTCGAAAGACTTGATGAAGATCAAAGTAAATACGGCGAACGTGCGCCAAGCATTCTGGCACGGAATCGCGCATTGTTTATTATTTCGTCACGTTCAACGCGGATTTCTCTGCTAAACTCTATTTACAAAGTAAGAAAAAGCAGATTTTTACAATGTATGGAATATAGAACAAAGTAAAAATAAAATTTGACTTACTATAAAATTCTGTACACGAAAGAGACGTAAAAATCATACTCAGGCTCTTATTAGAAACATTTTAAATGATCTTTATTAGAACATTATTAAAGCGTTTCTGACTTCAGGTTTTGAAGGAAAAATTAAAAAATGAAAAAGTTGTCCCGTTTAAAGTTTCGCGCTGAAGTATCTCCTAAACTACGGTTCGTTTAAAAAATTTCGATACCATTCTTTCGTATCACAGTTGGCCCAAAATTACATGACACAAAGCAAATGGAATTCCCACGCTGTCCGTATACTTTCTTATCGTGATTTCCCATTTTTCCGTCGGTATTCGCATTCGGAGTCTTTCTCACCCTCGGGTCGCCATCGATCGATGTTCGTTCATTTTTAAATCTGCCATGACCATTTGTAAACTTTCGAACGCTTCATAGTAATATCCCCGAATGCCATCTGAATCATTTGGAACGGGTCTGCGTCACTCTTTCCAACTTTGAAACTAAATTCTCTGCGTATTCTCTGTTCCTGAAGGTCCATTAAGAGATCTCGTCAAACAAAAGACGGCCAGTTCCTGAATTTCGAATTTCTTCATTACTTCTGTCCCGATTTACGGAACGGTGAACCCCAACCGCGTTGATATTCTTGTATTTTTTCGACGAATGGACTTCCCGGACATCGATCGCATTGAAACTTTCGCCCTGCGAGCAATAGTTTTCACGTAGGTTTTTCACCCCAAACTCGAGGACTGTTTTCTTTCGATATGGACGATCGTTGTTAGTAAAAATATACGGCGTCGCATATTTTTTTAAGAACCACGTCGTACGGAGAATTACATTTCGACGCGTTATCTCGTTATGGGGTTCGGACGTCGCGAGAAATAAATTTCCTCGGGTTCACCGCGAGACGATGGCTCTTCTCGTCGCGGTTGCAGTTTCTTTCGCGAGAACCGATCGATGGAAATTCTCGAACGGAATCGCGTAAATTGGAAAAAAAATATTCCCAGGAAAGCATCAGCAACGCCCGCGCAATTTTCCTATTTCCCTCGCGGCCTCGATTTGTGCGTCATTCAACCTACACCTTGGACTAAAATTACGGATCGGCGATCATCAAACTATTTCGAGATCGGATCCACGGGCATGGACGCGCGCACGCGGGTCACTTTTCTCTCGTCGGCGTTTTTCTAGCCCACCAATTTCGAGATCCATGAATACGAAACTAAACGGACGCGATTTATGCACGCCACGGTCTGTGTTTACATTTCCACATACGTTCCCTGATAACCTCCTGTCTACGTAAATAAATAATAGCGCGGGATGTTTTTCTCGCGCGCCCCAGTGTGCTTTTCGGATAAAATTCGCGATCATGAACAACGGCGTCACTTACACTCGAGCCTCGACGGTCTTGATTGCCTCCGCCTCGTGCTGCGACATTTCCTGCTCCACCTGTTGACAAATGACGACGATAATTTCAGGCAAATTATGTCAGAACTTTATTAAGACGCGTCACGGTAGTCGAAAATCGCGAAAGACCGAAAATATCTTTCCTGAATTTCAAATTAAATGTTTCTTAAAATTCAGAATTTCCAGCTATAATAATAATATTCGTATTCGAATATATTGGCAAAACATTATTTATATCGTATTTGAAGACAAATTCAAAAATCGATACGAAAGCATTAAAGGTATAATTGCAAGATTCAAGCAGGATCGATAAACTTCGAAAGTTATAAACGGAGATATTAAAAAATTTCAGCTCGTTGTGTACGAACAAACGATCGAGGTCAGCCGCAATCCACGATCCATTACATGGACTGTTTAGAAGTTCAGAAACGTTATTATCTTCGATGCGACGTAATACAAAGTACAAAAGTAAACTGTATCCCACCATTTGTCAGCTGCTTTCCACAACCTAAACCTCCAACTTTGGTCAAACATAACTTACAAGGAACATCGGCAAAGTGCCCACCCCCTGATTTTGATGAAACTTTGCTGGCTTGTAGGGCAGCCAAATATAAGGGACATGTATTTTCTTTCACCAGCGATAACTCAAATTTAAGGGACTTGTCTTCAAAGTTACGATCTTCTGATATCTTCATATATGTTAGCTAGGTATACAGAGAATTGTTTTAAACAAATTCTGTTTGGCCTTTTTGAGTTAAGTAGAAACAAAAAGGATTACGTTCAAATCCATGAGGTGGTATGTTTTCACTTTGGTATAAATTTTTCTTCTTCAAAGTATTCTTGTATCTTTAATAGTTGCCAAGGTTGAATTATGGTATGAATCTTTCGAGGGTCGTTTCTCCCTACAAGCTTAACTTCTTGCCACACTACAAGCTTTTAAAGTCTCATCAGCGTCGGTTCCAGATTTTCCTTGTAAGTGTCGCTTAAAAGTTACATTTTTTTCTGGTGTAACTGCAGGATGTATTTTAACGGAAAAAAATAGCGTATTCGTGTTACTCAAAAAAGGGTCCGTGTACGTGGAAATATATTGGAAATAACGGAATCGACATTCTGGCCAGCATTTTGGTATTTTTGTCCACCGTGCGTCGCGACGGAGCAAATAAATAACATTTAGAAAAAGATTCGGAATATATGCGGCGATCGGACCGATAAGTTTCGGTCGTATAGCGGAATTTATGGTCCATTGGGTCAACAATATTACGGATTGCACGCGTACGCTGAATGAACTTGGGTCAGCGTGTATCGCTAGATTAATGATTATTGGTCTGCCAATTCGTGATGGGTGGATAATTAAGTCCTGATGTTATTAACGATTAGAGGGCCCGTAAGTCGTGAGATGAACGATCAATGATATCAATAACCACGTAATGAAGCTTTCGCTGATCGTGATCGAGAACATGGTAACTACAAATGGTACTGGAAAGCTTGCTAATGTTCAAAGCAAATTTCACTCTTCAACAACGATGACCAGACACGTATTTATTGGGTCTTAACTGTGTACGATCGAGTCACGAGCTATCGCGTTATACAGGAAATTATCTTCGTAGCACGACATTTTACATTAGAAAATAATATATTAACATACTTTGTTACCAACTTGTAATTATATAGAATTATCCAAAATGAATTACTAATCTCTGATCTCGTGCACGTAATTATTTTAGTACAAATAGTACGATTTTCAAAAATCCACCGACGTTGCCTTTTATCTGATTGGTTGACAAATCCTCCCGCCTTGAACGATTACATTACAAAATGTCTCGACAGGAGAAAACCTAGCTTACGTTAGGGGTTTTCTAGAAAAGTCGATTAACCCTCGGACTAAGCAGTGCAATATCGTCGAGCGAACTTATGGTCAATCCTGACTCCTAATAAATTTATTTCCATATTCATTCCAAAAGTAAATTTTTCGAAATTGTTTTTCCCCAAGACAGAAAGTTTCTATTCGAATTAACGTATAAACGAGTGTCTCGTCTCTCGATGAAGTAATTCAAAAGATACAAAGAGCATAAACGGTGAATTCGATTAAACAATTCAGTAGAAATATCAGTTTTTCGTGTTCGCTCCATACTTTCAATAAAAGGTCTCTACGTTTGTGTAAAAGTTTCGTTCGTTTTAAAGATCGAGAAGCGATCCAAACTTTCGAGCGTGAAAATAAATATAAAATGTCGCGATATTAAGCGGACATTCGGAGTTTACGGAATGGAAAAACGGTTCGTGCAACACGCAACACCACGCATAGTAATTAGGAGCGAATAATCGCGCCACGACCCGAGCATTACGAGAGATTCCACAGAGAGGAGGAAGAAGGTAACTGCTGAAAGTAGAATTTACGCGGGCAGAGGACAATAGTACAATCGATAGGAAACCTACACAAATAAAAAGCAAACGACGAGACTTGAGATGTTATCGAAAGCGTAGGCGGACAGAACACGAAACCGCAAACTACCGTAAATATCAGGATGCGGTTAATCCTGACAACGCGGTAGATAAAACACTGTTTTTAAAGTACAACTGTATTAAATGCTTGCTCTATAGCCCTTTAACACGCACCTGCATTCTTACAGGCTGATTCTTTCAACGAACGAAAAATTCGTTAACCCTTTGTTCCATCTAGTTTTATGTAAAAATAGTGTCGACAAGGAAATTCATCCATATACATTTATGAAGAAACCTTTCCTTGCTCTTCTTTTATCAAAAAAAAATTATATAAAGTATATTTTTATACTTTACTTCTTTTTCCTACGTTCTTCTTATTTTGTAATATTTTATTGTATTCTTATAGTATTGTATTCAAGATTAAGTGTACAGTATACAGTTATACTTCGTCTTGCAATTGTAATCTGTATTTATTGTTGCTACACATTAACTTTGATATTACCTTTTATTCCATACTTGATTTTCTTGCTACAAAAAAAATGTATTATTATTATCATTATTTGATTTAATCAATGAGCAAGAACAGAGAATATTTGTGGAATTCTTAAAAATCAATTTGCTATAGTCGTTCGGATAGCTCATGCTCCGGTGTGGATACATGAGATGTTACAGCAGTCCAAGAATTCCAATTTAAGGTGCCTCTTGGGGATGTCATTAGTACGACGATTTGCAAGATTGTCAGACGTAAAGTGTCTCCGAGTAGAGAGCACAAAATGCTCTTCTCCGCAACAAATTGGTACATAAAGCCGCGTTCAACTATGAATTATGCTGCCAGGTCGTAAAACCAGCACTGACGTTATTATGATTTACTTTGAACTATTGTATATCCAGTGTACAAACAGCGAATCAAAAACTTTAGTAGGTTTCAAAGTTTCAAATAAACTGTTAAACTTAAAAATTCTTTAAAACTCCTTGATAGGTCGAGCACCTTAAAAGTAAGAAGTGGTGATTTCATACTTAATTACTTGCAAAATTAATGCAAGCGTTATATCAATATTGATTCAATCGTTTGTGAACATCGTGCTTACACGTTTACGCGGCCTTGACATACTTAAATAAAAATTAAAAGCAGAGTTCTTGCAATTCCTCGCACTTTGATTAGGCGCGAGACACGCGATAAATTCAAAAATCCTCAATAATTCACGTATGAACAGAAGCACTTAAATATGAAGTCTTTTTAATAACCAAATAGACGAACATATTTTGTCGTCTACGTTATTTTTTTGCGTGTTAACCACGGACCAAACAAGAAAAAGGACGACACGCCAACCATAGAACATTGATTGTAGGTCTGCGCCGTGGCGCTTAGAAGTTTCCAGGTTTGCGCCGATACCTCCTTGATCCAAAGATCACGAACGTGAACTCCCCCATCGTACAACTACCAGGAGAGTATTGGAGTCGGAATAACTAGTCTTCTCATCGTTACCCGAGTCACAAAGGGACGTGTCCCGGAAGATCCGGCAGATTTTAGTCGGCGCAAGGAACTTTCCTCTTGGGTCACTTTTACTGCTGTAGAATGGTACAACTCCCCCACGGATAGGATTTTTAGCCAACCATAGAACAGTGAATAGATCGATAAGAGTGGTAGAATTTGTAACATTGTACAAAGCCACGAAGTTATTGTTTCTTATTATCATTTCACTATTTGTTTTAATTTCAATTTGCTTCAAATGTAGAAAAAGGGGTGAGAAATGGCAGGGATCGCCTCGATGGACGAATCGTTAACGTGTCGTTTTGACGAGGAACAATGAATTTGGTAAAAAATAGTGGACCACTTATTGGTTGACAGTTACATTCCAGACGAATGGAAAATAGATTGGATCATGACGAGACGCACATGTTTCGGTAACAGTTACCTGCCAAACACGGAATCGGGGAGTTTAGTAAAAATGGGGCACGTTCCACAACTACATCGATTTTTGTTTGTTGCGCCATCAACTAGCTCTGCAACGCAACGTCCATTCTACCACCTTCTAACACTGGAATGTAGCCTGTCCCGAGGAGAAACATATTAAAATTCCTTTCCTGACAGTGCAAGCAAACAAACACCTAATGGAAAAGAGGTCCGAGCCATTCTGCTTGCTTAGACTGCGACTATAGCGGTTGTATAGCATAAAAGAAAAGATATTTTGACTCTTCCAGATATTTACTTTCAGAGCGAAAATATCAAGATAAAGACAACACTTATTCCCCAATTTTGACCGAAATACATGCTCAACTTCTATATTGTGCGTGTCTTATAACATAAAATACACTCCTTCAAAGTGGAACAATATATTAAAATGATCATGCATCAAATTGTAAGGAGATCCTTGTAGGGAAGCTTTAATGTCTCATTTGGTTATTTTGATGGTCAATAAATGGTTAGCTAATGGTCGACGAGGTTGACATCAATTTCCAGGAGGTAGAACCAACCTAAATGGTTCTCCTGCAGACCAAACAGTTTTAACCGTTAACTTTGACTTTACGTCTCGCGATGGGATTAAGTTTTCGTGGTATTTACCGTGACAGACTTATTTCGTAATGGTTGCCAGTGACTACTT